AAAAAAATCCTGGAAAAAAAAATGTTATAAAGAAAAATAAATTAAACAAGATTTGCCTGAGCATTACAACCAAATTCCTTGCCAAATTTGAAATAAAAATAAATTGCGAAAAACAAGTACTAATAATAAAAATAAATAAAAATAAAAGAAGAAATAAATTTAGTGAGTTCACAAGCACGTTTTCGACACCTCCATCTTTGGCGATTTTTATTTTTTTTTGGAATAGCTAAATGCCCTGAAAATTTAGATATGTGTACTTCACATAATGCAAAACACACTAAAAAAGTTTTAAAAAATAATAAAATTGTTTAGACTCCGAACTAAAGTGAAAACAAAAAGTAAAAAGTGAAAAAAAACATGGGCAAGCACGTTTTGACCGCCATCTTTGGCGATTTTTAGTTCTTATTTGGATGAGCCAAATGACTTGAAAATTTATAGGCGTGTACCTCACGTCATAGAGAACTCACAAAAAAAAATTCAGAGAAAAAAGAAAACATTTAGGCCCCGAAATAATTTTTTGTGGGGGCCGAACGCCGTCGGGTTCGGACCCCGTACGGGAACCCCAACGCCCGTACGTACGGAGGTCTGCCCAGGGACCTCCGCACGTACGGGCTGGTAACCCTGATTATAATATTATTATTATTATGATTATTATTTTTTTTTTGGCCCGGCCGGGCAAGTGACCCCGGGCCACTCTGGTAGCCTAGTCTTTAACTGTTTTTGTTCCTAAATATCCAAGTGCCAGTTGATGACAGGGCCCAGTCGGGGGCCCTCGCCGAGCAGCTAAGTCTTGCTGATCTAGGATGTGAACCATAATAGTCTTTTTTTTTATATATATACTGTAATAGCCTTGACTCTTGATGTCTGTGAACCAAATATGTGCTTGCGGAAAGGAGTGTGTGAGTGTGGATGTCTGTTGCCAGTTAATTGAGTGGCTCTGTTTGGGTATATAGCACTATTTAGACTCCTGATGAGCTGGTGGAACAGCAACAAAACAGGCTGTCACAGCCCCTTGTTCGCTGTCGTCGTCTCACTCTCTGCCTACGGTTTGTGGGGCGGTTTCCTATGTTGAATGTTGTATAATCTGATGTTTCACAGATTATATTTGTGACGATATATATATTATTTCATAGCTTGAACCTTTCTGAACAATTTTGAATTGTGATTGTTAGAATGTGGCTGTTTGTTTTGACTAAGGTCAAAATTGAAAATTCTGCAATCTGTTGTTTGTAGTGCAGTCTGAGTTGTGTGATTCTCACTCTATTGGACAAAACTTGAGGTGGGTGAGGGAACAGCCCACTGTGAGTAAGTAGCAGTGGAAGTAAGGGTCTTGCTGTGTGACTACTTTGACGGAGTAATTCCACTGGCAAGCCGGTTGTCCTTGGCTGCATTGACGCCTCTATAATGAGGTGTGTGTGTGTGTGTGTGTGTGTGTGTGTGTGTGTGTGTGTGTGTGTGTGTGTGTGTGTGTGTGAAGCGTTGTGTGTGTGTGTGTGCGTGTGTTTGTGTGTGTGAAGAGGTGTGTGTGTGTGTGTGTGTGTGTGAAGAGGTGTGTGTGCGTGCCTGCTTGTGTGTGTGTGTGTGTGTGTGTGTGTGTGTGTGTGTGTGTGTGTGTGTGTGTGTGTGCGATAGTACGATATGCAAACTATATGAGCTCGAGGTCTGACAGCTGTGTCGGTAGACTTAGGTAAAATAGCCAAGGGCAGGGGTGGTGTGACTAGCAACTTGACCTCTACATTTCAAGTGACCAATCCGGACATTACTGCAGACTTACACAACCAGAGGCCAAATTGAAAGATCATTGTTCTTGACAGCGAGGCAACACAAAGGCTAGAGGGTATGGGGGAGCCGCGGGAGGGCAGACAAACAGCTTAAGGCACAAAGGGGAAGATAGATGGAAAATGGGGAAGGAAAGGGCATGAAGCGACAAGGCGAAGGATGACAAGTAACCGCAACAATAAGGCGAAGGACAAAGGCTGGAGGGCAGCGGATGGGCACACAAAGGCGGGAGACAACAAGGCGGCGCGAGACAACAAGGCATAGGACAAGAGGCAACGGCAAATAACAAGAGGGCGGGAAGGCACGGGGGAGGCAGGAGGGTAGATAACGCACAAGCCCAGAAAACAGTTAAACCAGAAAAAATACAAGGCAAAGAAAATCAAAAGGTTGAAAAAAATAAAATTGTTGATATAGATTGTGTCGCGGGAGTTGCGCACTTGACTCGTCAGGAGGCTGAACCCTTGGCAATCTGCAGAATCTCCATACTGACGGTTTGGGTCAGTGAACCGTTTGACCCTTGTCGAAGGCAGTCAGGACTGTCCACAAGCGGAACACAGCAGCGGGGCAACAGCTCAGCGAAGCACCAGGCAACCCTGCCGGAGCAATCCGACAATACAACGCCAAAAATGACTGCAAGGAACGACACTGCAAGCCGACGAGCAGCAGGGCAACAGGGCGGTGAAGCACAAGGCAGCACCAACACAGCAGCCACATTACACGGCACACAAGCAAAGAACACGGGTGGCAAGGCACACAGATGGGCAGCAAAAGGCAGCAGCGCAGCGAAGCACAGGGCAATGGTAACACCACAACCTGGATGCATCTGATCGCAATCATGTCCACATTCCAGTTGAGAAATTAGCGAGAGTATGCTGTCAATTGGTAAGGATAACAACGGTTTCAGTTCTTTCATCCGGTTTTTTTTTTTTTTTTTTTTTTTTTTTTTAATGGTTATGATGAAGAATCAAAAGAACTGCAACCCTTTTTGTTTGTGCGCTATTTTGCAAATCCACCAAGTATTTTTGTGCCAAATCCACCAAGTATTTTGTGCCAGCAACCACCATTTCATTTTTATTGTTATTTTTCCAAATCAGTCACAGATCTGCTGAGGATGCTGGTACGATCCGATATCGGCAAGATCCAATCTATATTGGTGGGGAGCTACAATTGCCGGACACCGGGTACAGCGTCCCTCACACGAAGCGTGGAATCCAAATGGTCAGAGAGAAATCAAGATAGCCCCTGTTGCCCAAGACACTCTCCCAGTGTCCCAGGGACCCCTGGGAGGCGTGAAGCCGTGCCCCAGGGGGCCAGGCCACCCTTCTCTCAGGGAAACAGACCTATGTACGAAATCGCACATTTGAATTGTTTAGAAAGACATGCGTGGTGTGTACCTTTGAATATTTCCGGTCGTAATTTTTGCGACTCCAGCTTCCTCACTGACTCACTGCTGTCAATTTTTTTTTTTTTTTTGTTTTGTTTTTTTTTTGTTTTTTTCAAACACGCCCCATGCAGTGCTAGTGGCGCTGATGAAGCAGATCATTAAACCACCAGTAAGATTTCCAGCTAGAAAAAAAGCCTGCGGTAGTATCGAGGCGCTGCTTTGTGGCACATCCATCCAGGCAAAAGTGGCCGCATGGCTCTGTTTTGCCTGGATGGGTGTCCAGTGAAGTCGTCCCTGTTGTACTTCCCGTGAGTCTCGGTTGTGAAATGGCATACCTTACGCTTCTGCTCCATTCTAGATTGACTAAAAGATGGTGAAGGGGAGGGATGAAAAAAAGGCGTAGATTTTTCTTTCTTTCTTTCTTTCTTTCTTTCTTTCTTTTTTTTTTTTTTTTTTTTTTTTTTGGGTATGGGTGGAAAGTTCTTACACTTTCAAATTCTAGCAAAAGGGGTATGACTGATAATGGGGGTGGAGAATTTTCAATTGGACAAGTTGCAGCTGCGTCACTGTTTTCAAATCTGCTGTAGAAGCGAAAGGGGGCTGCCTGAAAATGGGTACAAAAGATCAGGACTACTGCAATGCTCTTCTTGCCCGATGAGTGTTGAGTGCAATGCTCTTCTTGCCTGATGAGTGTTGAGTGCAACGCTCTTGCCCGATTAAAACTCATCATTGCCAAACTTGCGAGCGAACAATTCATACACACACCAGGTTCAAAGTTGAAACACACACAAAAAAAGAGAGGAAGATCAGCTGAGAACCCAAATTCGTTATCGCGAACGGAATCAATAATGCTGTAGTTCCAGCTCACGTACAATTCTCTCTCTCTCTCTCTCTCTCTCTCTCTCTCTCTCTCTCTCTCTCTCTCTCTCTCTCTC